GAACTTCGTCGTCTGCAAAAATATTGTTCAAAAGTATTGATTTACCTGGACTTGGGTGTCAGTTATTACACATGGCCATTTAAACTAGAATTCTTCAGGTGGTGTTTATTTTTTAATGTCGCATGTTCTTGACGTACGAAAGCCTAATAGTGTCAAATAAAAAAAATGCAAAGGCGTTATAACGCGAATAAAGGCATTATAACGCGAATCAAAATTCGTAATAACGCGAATAAAAGCGTTATAACGCGAATCAAAAGGCGTAATAACGCGAATAAAGGCGTTATAATGCGAATCAAAAGGCGTAATAACGCGAATCAAAAGGCGTAATAACGCGAATAAAGGCGTTATAACGCGAATCAAAAGGCGTAATCACGCAAATAAAGGCGTTATAACGCGAATCAAAAGGCGTAATAGCGCGATTTAAAAGGCGTAATAACGCGAATAAAGGCGTTATAACGCGAATCAAAAGGCGTAATAACGCGAATAAAGGCGTAATAACGCGAATCAAAAGGCGAAATTACGCGAATAAAGGCGTAATAACGCAAATCAAAAGGCGTAGTAACGCGAATAAAGGCGTAGTAACGCGAACCAAAAGGCGTAATAACGCAAATTAAAACACATTATAATGCCAATTTAATACCATATTTATACTAATCAAATTGCCTAGTAACGCGAGAAAGGAAGACCAATATTGATCTGAATTTATTGCTCAAGATATTTAAGCTCGTATAGAATAATACAATATACATTTACAATAACTATCATTTCATTTGCACAGTATTAATGCAAACAATTTGTCATAAACAAATGAAGACTCCTTAATATTTGCCAATATAAGATGCCTTGGTGACTTATAGGTCATAAAGTATTACCTCCTTCAAATAACAATCCTCCTATGAAGTTTGAATATTGTGGGCGAAATGGAACTTAAGTTATGCTCCGGAAACCAAATTGCAAACGGACGGACAGACGGACGGACGGATGGACGTTCAAATATTTTGGGTTTAGGGGCTATTTTTTTGTTATTTTCTTTTTTTTCTTAAAGGCTACTAGCCCATAAACCATTTGATCACGGAATGAACCAATTGTTCTCTTTTGTTCTCTTTACTGTTATATAGCCCCTAAACGTTTGCTCGGACGAACGGACGTATACGGGCATATAATAAAACGTACATCTAGATCAATTCATTTAAATAAACATTGTTCTTCCTTCCATACATTACTAGGCCACTGTTTGGAATTTATATGGTGTTAAATTAGCGCAATAACGCCTTTTGTTTTCCTTATTACGCCTTTTGGTTCGCGTTATTACGCCTTTTGATTCGCGTTATAACGCCTTTATTCGCGTTATAACGCCTTTTGATTCACGTAATTACGCCTATTGTTTTGCGTTATTACGCGAATAAAGGCGTTATTACGCCTTTCAATTCGCGTTATAACGCCTTTATTAGCGTTATTAAGCCTTTCAATCCGCGTTATAACGCCTTTATTTGCGTTATAACGCCTTTAATTCGCGTAATTACGCCTATTAATAGGCGTTATTACGCGAATAAAGGCGTTATTACGCCTTTCAATTCGCGTTATAACGCCTTTATTCGCGTTATTACGCCTTTCAATTCGCGTTTTAAACGCCTTTATTCGAGTTATAACGCCTTTGATTCGCGTTATTACGAATTTTGATTCGCGTTATAACGCGATTAAAGGCGTTACTACGCGAATCAAAAGGCGTAATAACGCGAACCAAAAGACGTAATAACGCAAAACAAAAGGCGTTATAATGCTAATTTAATACCAAGGAAGAACAATGTTGATCTAAATGAATTGATCAAGATGTACGTTTTATTTTCAATTCTGTACGGATACGTCCTAAGACCACAGTTTGATTTTTTTAAATCTTTTATTAGGAAATGCTTTCGTCGGATTAGAGGTTACTATCACCAAACTTTAGATACCTTTCTACAAGGACAAAGAAGACAATGTCTCCTATAATTGTAACTTAACAGAAACACTTTCACCCTTCTAAGCATACCTATCAATAATTAAGATATACTTTCACCCTAATGTGATTTACTTATACCTTACGGTTTTTTTTTAAATCTTGTTACCTATAGCCTATTATCTATGGCGTAATTGGGAACGACATTCACATAATTAGAAGATACTACAGGTTATTAAATAATTATACAGGACATATCCGTAGATAATTGAACATATGACGCACATATAAGATAAAAAATAAGATATAAGAAAAGAAAAGAAAAGATAAGAAAAGAAATTCATTTACTATAGTGACGTGTTTAAAATCAATGATGTGATACATGATTTCAGAGTAACTTTATTTAAGTCCAGTCCAATGGACCTATAAGTCACCAAGGCATCTTATATTGGCAAATATTAAAGAGTCTTCATTTGTTTATGACAAATTGTTTGCATTATTACTGTGCAAATGGAATGGTAGTTATTGTAAATGTATATTGTATTATTCTATACGAGTTTAAATATCTTGAGCAATAAATTCAGATCAATATTGGTCTTCCTTTCTCGCGTTACTAGGCAATTTGATTAGTATAAATATGGTATTAAATTGGCATTATAATGCGTTTTAATTTGCGTTATTACGCCTTTTGGTTCGCGTTACTACGCCTTTATTCGCGTTACTACGCCTTTTGATTAAGAAATAAGATCTGCCTGAGAGGTGTATATCGGCTATTTAACACCGGTTTAGGAATTGACCACGAAGGCCGTAGGCCTAAGTGGTTAATTTTCACGCATCAAAAACGACAAAACCGGTGTTAAATAGCCGATATACACCTCTCCGGCCGATGTTATTTCGATTCTAACACGATAAAATAAGGTAAATCACTAATGTCATTTTTCAAGCGGAATTAAATTCCGGTGCCGATTTTCGTATAACGCTGTTCGATTTTCGCACCCTACTGTTGCGAATATATAGAAATTATTAAACAAAAGAGATTTTGATTCACGTAATAACGCCTTTATTCGCGTTATAACGCCTTTGCATTTTTATTTTATTATTTTATTTGACACTATTAGGCTTTCGTATTTACGGTATCTTTAAACAACAGACAAAACTTCAAAACATACAGTCAAATCGCTTTATTATTTTAACTGCTGTGTTGCATAGAAACAAATGTCTCTCTGATTTAATGAAGTAGCATAGATGCCCTACTGGTAAAAATAGACCATACTGGGCAAAATTTTAAAAGGGCCGGATAACTGCTAGGGGCTGGAAACTGCTAGGAAACCAGAAGAATTGTTTTAATTTTAATAAAATATAGATCTTAAAATATTTCTATGTTAACTCTAAATCAGTATATCGGTCGTTTATATTTCAACCTAATCATTATTAAAATATATTTGAAGTATCATCAACACACACTTATCTTATCTCACAGTTAATATACCCATCCAAAAATGGGGGGGGGGGGGGCGGCTTTAATGGATTCTCTTTGTCGGTCCCTCCGTCTCCATGTTCGTGTCCGCTCTATAAATTCTATACCAATTGAAGGATTTTCTTTAAACTTGGCTCAAATGTTCACCTCAACAAAAGGGATGTGCAGAACCCATAATGCTCATGTGTCAGCTCAAGGTCAAGGTCACAATTGAAGGATATTCTTTAAACTTGGCTCAAATGTTCACCTCAACAAGGGGGTGTGCAGAACCCATGTTGCCAATTTGTCAGCTCAAAGTCAATGTCACAATTGAAGGTAAAATATCAAACAATCCAATATTAGACAGTATGTCATATCCGCTCTGTAAGTCCTACACTAATTGAAAGATATTCTTCAAACTTGGCTCAAATGTTTACCTCAACAAGCGGATGTGCAGAACCCATGTTGCCAATGTGTCAGCTCAAAGTCAATATCACAATTGAAGGTAAAATATCAAACAATCAAATATTAGACAGTATTTCGTGTTCGCTCTGTAAGTCCTATACTAATTGAAAGATTTTCTTCAAACTTGGCTCAAATGTTTACCTCAACAAGGGGATGAGCAGAACCCATATTGCCTATGAGTCAAAGTCAAGGTCAAAATTTAAGGTCAAATATAAAACAATCAAATATTAGACAGTATGTCGTGTCTGCTCTGTAAGTCCTACATTTTCTTCAATCTTGACTCAAATGTTAACCTCAACAAGGTCATGTGCAGAACCCATGTCACCCTTTTACCGGCTTAAGGTTTAGATCACACTTGAAGGTAAAATAAAATCCTTAAATTTTAACATGTACTTGAATATTTCTGAAACTAGCACAGGTATTTGCTTGAAACTTGAAAGATATATGAGGTGTCACAAATAAGATATGCAGGTCAGGTTTCACAAATCTGTATTGCATTTTGACAAAGTTATGCCCCTTTTGAAGTCTTTGAATTTACATACAATCAATACAAGACAATATGTCATGTCCGCTCTATAAATTCTTTACTAATAGAAGGATTTTTTTCAAACTTTACTCACATGTTTACCCAAACTAGACCATGTGCAGAACTCATCTTACTCTTTTGCCAGCTTAAGGTCAAGGCCACACTTGAAGGTCAAAAATTGACTTAGAAAGTGTTTAGTACATTTGAAAAAATGAAAGGTTATTTGTAACTGTTTCAAACATGATTTGACAATATATATTTATACTATTACCTGTACAATTAGTCTTTTTTCACCAGAGATAATTCCTTTTTATGTATATGTATTTATTCCCATATTTAACCACATTTCCAAGTTGTCAAAGGCAAAACAACCTTCGATAGAGGTGTAGTATATCTAAGCATACCAACTATTTAGGAACATCATTCAAATATCCTCAATTATTTGAATCTAAATTATTTTATATTTCTATTAAACTCTCGACAGATCTAAAAGATCGGAAAAGCAGAACAATAATATCAACACTGTCCAAGGCTTTCAAAGCCTTACTTTTATAATACTGATAAACCGATTTTCAAATAACCTAAAATATTTGTTTTGTTTATTTATTGATAGATGTGGCTATAGTAAATATGTGAGTAATCAAGAAGACTAAAATGGCATCTGGAGATCCAGAAAATCGGATACATCTATTCCGTTTGCAAATTCTTATAATAGATGGAGGCCTGCTTGTATTGAGAAGTATACTTGATCAGACCATAGCTGCCCAAGGCCTTACTTTAAAGACATGTCTTAAAAATGAAGGGTCAAAAATTACAAAATTGCATGGCAACAACGTTATCACCCAGGATCAATATGACCTATTGTTCCCAATGGGTGGTCAAGACCCAACTACGGCAGATATGGACATTACGCTTATCAGTTGCCTTCTTGCAAACCTTAAATGTTTCGGATTGAATAAGAAATTTAAATGGAATGCGACACCTGCAGAATCCGATTTAACAGTTGAGGCAGATATATGTCGTTTGAGAAATTTCCGGAATAAAGTAAGTATGATATGACAAAAGTTGTTGATATTAATATGAAATCTTATGTGTAAACATGCAAAAGAAGCAACCAGATGAACACCTCTTATACAACAATTAAATTTTAAATGCTTAAACAAACGAAAAGTAAAACGGATATCTTAGTTCTATATTAACATATTTGACAGCGTTTAAGTACATGCTATTAAGACAAGGACGTAAAATGAATAATCAATTACTTCGCGATATTTGTGGATTGCATACAGTGATGATCTGAAACTATAACCACCGCTAATACTTAAATGTTTGTAACCTGAAACGTTATAAGTTGATTGATCTTATTTATTTAACCTTCATTGTACTTTAAGTATAAACATATATTTTAGCAATATTATTCTTTTTATTTTATCATATGTTTTGTGTCAACAATAATTTTTATACCCTTACACCTACAATATGAAGAAGTTTGCACAATCCCCTTTTCACCTTAACTTCGACTGAACATGTTCCAATCTATTTATACCAGCGGGGCTTTTTCTGCATTACTGATAATTAAGTTTTTATTTCAGATCTGTCATATGTCAACAACAACTGGAATAGAACAAAGTGAGTTTACAACTTTGTGGAATGAAATCGAGCAGGTAAGCGTATAGGGTTTAAACCTCTTAAAAACATTCCAATGCATTCCTTTGAAAATTCTATTCCTTTTAACAGAAAAAATGTTTTTACTGTTTATGGTTTTTACTTGCTTTCAGGGTGAACTTTGTATCAACTTAAGTGTATTTGAGTATTTTCTAAAATATTCTTATAGATTAGTGTAAAAATGATGCCATAAATGATAAAGTCATTAAAATTAGTTTGTGTTATGAATATGGTTTTTCTTCAATTTCTTCATCAAATTTATATTATTATAAAAAATAAATGCTCGCTTCATATGAATATCTTCAATAGTTAACGATAAAGCAGTAATATAATACAAATGAACAAAAGCAATAACTTGAAAATAAAATTGAAAACTGGTACAAAAACAAATGCTAAATTTACAATTCCTATCAAATTCGGTTTTTAGATACTTATTAGACGAAGCACTGCAGGTCTTAATATGCATCAAACAATTGCCGATTTCAAGTCGTGTTCTCTTGATCCAGAGGAAGAAAGAAGGATGAAGGAAGAAATAAAGAAATGCGAGGACTATGAAGCAGATGTTGATCGGCTAAAACAGGAAATGGGAGACGTAAAAGAAAATTTTACCGAACTGCAGAAAAACTTTGATGACGTAAAAGAAAATGTTACTAAAGTGAACAGAGACCTTTATGACGTAAAAGAAAATGTTAATGAAGTAAAGAGTGACCTTGGTGATGTGAAAGAAAATGTTACTGAAATTAAGAGTGACCTTGATGACGTGAAAGAACATGTTGCTGAAGTAACGGGTCACCTTGATGACGTGAAAGAAAATGTTGCTGAAGTAAAGGGTCACCTTAATGACGTTAAAGAAAATGTTATTGAAGTAAAGAGTGACATGGACTGCGTGAAAGAAAATGTTATTGATGTAAAGAGTGACACGGATGTCGTAAAAGGAACTATTATAAAAGTACAGGAAGACCTTAAAGAGGTCAAAAGACCACAACAGACAGGTGGGTTATTTCATGGATTTATGACTAAGTACAAGAATACAAAGCGTTTACAATTCATGTATATAATTTATAATAAAATACTTGTGTTCATCTATCCTGCATCTTTGACAGCACAATGAAATAAATTTTATTTGAAAGAGATCGTTCCATTTTTCAAACTCCTTTACTATTTCAAATTTCTTATCAGCATCAACTTATAATTCTAGATTTATTTTGTTCAATTAGCGTAGATCAATAAATTTATACAATATATACAATGTAAGTTTGTTTTTGTTAAGTCATGGATCTGAGTAAAACTAACCTATTATAAAAGATAGAGGAATACAAGTATTGATTTATTAATTAATTGCTCAAAGTGGTTAACCACACTAATTAAAATTATATACATGTACATAATTATGCAAATGAAACAATTTTGAAACATCGAAGAATATGTAAAATATGTACTGCAAATATTTGTGCCTATTATATGTAATCATTAAAATATAATTATGCATTCATTTCTTATTGTTAAATTTGACTTAAACTTTAAAGAAAATAAATTTTTAATGACCTCTCTTTTTTACATGATCGACATATAAATTCGTTAATATCTTTATAAATAATGCTTTTTGGAACCTACAATACTGATCAATCTTAATTTGAGCATTATATTATGATTTAAAACCATACAAAGTTGTGTTACAGGATAATTAAGTCAACATTTATTCCTTTGGATCTGCCTATACGAGTTCTTAAAGATTACCTTTACTTAAACAAAAGCCACCACCGGGTGGGGCAACGCTAGACCTTTTGCTATTTTAAAAAGCAAACAAATTAACAATTCTTACAAGAAAAGTAAAGAAAAAAGTTGTCTTTCTTTCTTAATTTTACTAGGTCTGTCTAGTCACACTTGTTGTTTTGTCCAAGTATGAATCCATTCCATAAATAGATGACAAACCTAAAAAAAAATATAATCAAAATTCAATCATTTGAAGGTCAATGCAATATAAAGATCAAGGTCATATCTTAATTATTTTGCATGTATGTTTGGTCAAAAGTATTGTTTTGTCCTTATAAGAAACAAACCCGTACATAATTTACACAATTATGGCAAATTAATCAAAATTTGATTATTTGACCTTGACAGTCAAGGTCATTCAAAGCTCAAGGTCAAGGTCAGTTCAATCTTTTAGAATGTCTTGTCATACAGGTTGTTTTGTCCGAGTATGAAAGCAATCCATCTATTAATTACAAAGTAACAGCCTTTTGTGGCGATAATCGGTGAAAATAAAATAATTTGACCTTCAAGGTCATGGTAACATACTAGTAGCTTCTTTTCTCCAACACACTGTGAATATGATCAATAACTTTAGAAATTTGTGAACGAATTCTTTCATATTTGTATCGGATACAGGCATTGAGTATTGAAAATGGGGGTGTGTATACTTTACATGAATCAGTATATGTACAGGTAACAATCCATTCTTCTGTCCTATTTCTTTTGCGCGTGGATACATACATTAAACAGTTCATTCATTCTATGTAAACACTTGCGTTTAAAATCGACCTCAATACAGTCAAACACCCGGAAAGGAACACCCATACTTACTGCCTTATTCACTTGCCCAGATCATGTACCTTGTGTTGGTAAGTGTGTAAACTAAGAAGCCATTGGTACAGGTAGAACTTAAGAAAAAAACAACTTGCCTTTCTAGGTTAACCTCGTACGGACAGACGGACAGACGGACGGAAGGACAGAAGGACGGCCGGTTCAATTACTTTATGCCCGGGGGCATAATAAAAAAGGAACTAAAGACAAATAGGACATTAAGAAATTATAAACGGGTAGTTTACTCTATTGCGTGGTCAGATAAATTATTTCATAGAAACAAATTATTTAATCACACCATACTGCATGCATCTCACGAACATTTTCGAAGATCGATATATTGTGTGCATTGACCATGTATTCAGTATCCAATTGTTAGGTTAATAAAATCAAAGAATACAAATCATTATGTATTTAATGAGGAAAGACAGCTAAATATTCCTAGATTTTTTGGTAAATGTTACTACTTTTCCAACTATTTTTCTACTTTTTTGCAAAAGAAATGTTCCCTCTTTTTTCCTACTTTCTGGTGTGAGACCACTTGGCAGCCTGTTCATACATTTTAAACTTCGGGTTCCTCATACCTATGTGACATGATGCTAAACTGTAACATAGCATGGTCAAAACACATCGTAAAAGTAGTGTCGAAAGTATTAATACGCCACAAATAAGCCTGTTGACACAATCCATGATTTATTGTTCAACAACCATTGTGTGCGTAAAATTTTGTAAGAACCCGTATCTAAACGCCCATCGCAAATACGAAGCATACATTATACATAAGTAGCCATACTTCCGGTTTTCGGATTTCAGAGTTTCCGGTGTTTAGAGGATATTCTGTATGAACTTATAAGGAAAATATTGGTCCGGTTCTCAGAAGATTCCGGTTTTCGGAGGTTCCGGTTTTCGTGTTCTTTACAATAAAATATTCTTTGAGGAATAAAATGAATGGTTTTTAACCAAAATATTTTTATTTATTTATATTTAGAGAATATAAGACGATCAACTCAAAAGACGAAAGTACCTGTCAGACTTGAGGATCATGACCAACCGTCGCTACGTAATAGGCGGCCGACAACTATACCAACGGAAGGCACACAGATAATGTCTTCGATTGGTACACTACCACCAAGGCCACATTCATCTACGCCAGGAGCGCCTACACCTCCGGCTGAGCCACCTTCACCCACGCCAATGGCACCTCCACTTCTTCCTACGCCACATACACCCAAAACAATATCTCCTTCACCTACGACAATAGCACCAACACTCACGATAAGGGGACCTACACCCACGCCAAGGGCTACTACACCCACGACTACGCCACCTATATCCACACCAAGAGCACCTACACCCACACCAAGGGCTACTGCACCTCTGGCTACGCCACCTACACCCACACCAAAGGCTCCTACACCTCCGGATACGCCACCTACACCCGCACCAAGAGTGCCTTCACCTCCTGCTAGGACTCATACACCACCGCCTGTGACACCCATACAACAACAAGAGGATATGGCGCAGCAACTGGCAAATGAACAAGGTAAGAGACAACCAAGACACAACTTAGTTTCAAAGCTATGTAACGGAGTATGCTCTCAAACCATAAAAATACACAGTGTCAAAACGATGATCCGTCCATATTGATGCAAAGTAATAACAATAACGTCATTTCTCGAAAAACGGACAAAAATGTAATAAACGGGGAGCGTAAATTTATGTAATGACCAAACTTAATACAAAGAAAAAACTATACTTTTGAAGAATGGTCAGTTTGAAATACATGTAGTATATTTAAGCTCTGACCCAACAGAAAGAGAGACTATTTAGACAATGGCTTATTTACTAGGACTACAGCTAAGTGTCACTTGTTTTAGGTTGAAAAAAGCTATGGCTCACAATATCAGATAAGGCAAGCGTAGCACTCAATCATCTCTTTCTTAATTATAGCTATGAATGTTTTGTTTGGGCCGGAGCACAATACCTATTTCTGAATACGAGATGATTTCAATTACATGTATAGATAATGTTCAATAGAAGTTTGCATTTATCATCATTGCTATGATTGAAGCGGAAAAATAACTCGATGGTAATTGAGACATATAAGAAATATGAAAGTACAGGGTCCAACACGACCGTTATAGACCTTTAGAACACTGTTGCGCTTCTTTAGCATCGAACAACAGATAACGTTTCTATATAACCTAAATTTTGTTAATATGAAGTTTTTTTGGATTTTTTTTTTTTTCAAATAAAATAATTACATTCCAAAATGAAACCTTACCGTTTCGCTACCTCATGTGTATATAATCAGACTTCATTTTAAAATTGTCTTGTTCAACCTTTTTACTTTAGTTTACATCACTGCATTTAAAATATCTAGAAATGCCTTTTATAACGTTAAATTTGTGTAAAATAGCGTGATTATGATGGCTTGGAATGTCCATAACTGACTGTCAAACAATTCCAATTATAAAATTTATTCCAGCAGAGCATTTTACACAATAATTTAGTATGTGCCGCTAGTTTGTTTAGCCACCTGAGCATTACAATAGAGCATTTTGATTCCATATTTAGGAATACCCTACTAGATAATCTAGCCAACTCAGCATTCCAGTAGAGCAATTTTATAATATATTAAAGAATCCACCGCAACATTGTTCTGCAAGCTTAGTTTTTCAGCAGAGCATTTTACATTTTTTACATACCTCGCTATATTGCTCTGCCATTTGAGCATTCTAGCAGAGAAATTTTACTTTATATTTTTGATTTTTTTTTTGCTGGATTGGTCTGTCGGCTGAGCATACATATAAGCATTGTATACACTGTTTTCAGGAATGGCCCGCTAGATTGTTACGCCAGCTCGGCATTTCAGCAGAAATGATATTACAGATTATTTCATAATGGCCCGCTAGATTGCTCTGACAGCTCGTCATTTCAGCAGAGAAATTTTGTACTTAGGAATGCCCCGCTTTACTGCTTAGCCCGCTGATCAATCCTGCAAAGCATTTTTCACACTATTATTCTGAATGCCCCGCTAGATTGCCAGGACAGCTGATTATTCCACCAGATTATTTTTACACTAATTTTTGCTTAGCCAGCTGAGCATTCCATCAGAGCTTTTTCCTTTATATTTAGGGATGTCACACTAGATTGCTTTGCTAGCTGAGCATTGCAGCAGATGATTGATTTCCATATTAAAATTGTAATGCCGTTTGTATAAGCTGACTGTCAAAGTGTAAACATGTGTGAATAAATTTATATTTCTTCTACTTTCTTCCCGAAATGAAGTCAAAAGCATATTTCCATATAGTTGGTTATTTTTAGTTGTTTTTTTAAATATATTTTAAAAAAGAAAATATGACTGTACAATCTACAGAACTAGAAAATGAGGTTTGGCGAAAAGTCTTTGATCAAAGCACGAGGAAGCTTAAAACATACCTCATCCCCGATGGAATCATTGACCTGGAGACAAGGTTCGAATTATTTTCCTTAACTGACAGACGGGACATAAAGGTATAATATCAAATATTTTTATGATATGCTTCATTACATATTGTCTTGGTATTTTAAATTCATCTTAAAAGTATTATTTCTATATGTCTGCTGAAAATTTCTTCAGGAATGGAAACAAAATGGAATAATCCTGAATCATTATATTATGCGAACCAAAAATACTTGGGTCAAGAATATAGTCTGTCACATAGATACCTTTTTAAGAAAAACCCTTTTTTTTAGAAAAATATATCTTCAAAAAATGTTTCTCTCTTATACCACAAGTGATAGAGCTTAGATAGTAGGCGGCATCCGACTTACCTAGGCCGACAATATAACCTTTGAAGAAAATAATTTGCTAGTGTCAATATAGGTTAATATGTAAAATTATTACAAGTACATTTTTATAAAATATGGGTTTCTTTTATTACGAGGACTAACTTTTTAATTATAAAAAAGGTTTTATACGCAATTTCAATTTTATTCATATTGGATATCCTTTATTTATTAATAATAAGAAACGGTTGAATGGGTAACCCATAGTGAATCTTGTTAGTAATTATACCTTTTTTACTGTCCTTAATTTTAACTTTTCTCCCAAAGGGTATTTTTTGTTTCAACCTTTTATAATTTAAAAAAATTGAAAAAATAAATTTTTTATTTTGGTTACGGACCTGTTTTTGTTATATGGGTTTTTTTCTAAAAAACTTTCAAAAATTTTATATCTACCCCAAAATTCAAAAAACAAGTACCTGGTTTTCAGGATTTAGACAACAACAAAAAAAACGAAAACTATTTTACCAAAAATAAGATCAAAAAGGGAACTTCTTACAAAGAATTTCATAAAAACTTTTAAAATGCAAATCAGAGCGCCCAAACCTTGGCAACTCCTTTGATTGACTTATACAGAGAGGGGATTAAATACAGATGAGATAGAACAACAACTTGACAAAATGTTAGAAGAACAAATAACACGTACGGTACATGATAAACAAAAAAGAGGTAAGTGCAAGTTTATCTGCACAGACAAAGCGTAGGATCTAGGTGCTTATACTTTGGAGTTACTATTGTCAAGTCATCTAAACTTGTGACTCAATATGTCCGACTTTTTAATTATGTGTTTCCATACTTCAAAAATTGTCCTCATTATTTGTTTCCTTATTCTGGCGAATCAAGGAGAGGTTTGTGGTCATATATCATCATTGAAATCTCCAATTTTGGTGGATTAATTGAGCGCCTGACATTAAAACATTAATAATCTTTTCCAGATTTATTGGTCTCCTCGCTCACAGAAGGCGACTAAAAGGCTTTTGCCTCATCGGTCTGAACACCACAATGTTATGCTTTATGTTATTCATTCCGTCCCAAATTTAAGGTTTAAAGAAAGGAAACAAGATTTACCGTCGGTTTACGTCAAAAGTACTCACTCAAATTATATGGGAATATGCAACATAAAAATAACCTCAAATATTGATTCTTCCCTTTCTCCATCAGTCCAAAAAAAGATACATAAAGATTCATAAAATACATGCAATATTTTCATTAAGCATGGTGCAAATGCATTATTATGGTTATACGTATAATGTTTAATCTTGTACATAAATTTGAAATCCTTAAAAATGTGATAATGTTACCTTTGGTTACTTTGTATCTAAATAAAAGATTACAAATCCAAATAGGCTTGGGTTCACATATAGATTTATTAATAGTTCACTGTGTTATTATGTTGATAAACAAATAAATATAAATAATCACTGTATCCTCTTAAAATGTCTCAAACCATTATATCACTGTTCCTGCACTCTGTTTCACATTACACTATCACAGTCAACTAGAGTACCTAGTTAACAAGTCCAGCACACTGAAAACATACAAAATGTCACTAAATGCCTATTCACTTAATGTCTCATCTTTGCAGGGTTATCTCCCTCTAATTCACAATATATAATGTTAAAACACATTAAATCATAATGATCAATAGTTCACATTTGATACTTATGATTAATTGGTTCTAGTGGCTTAATCTTAACCCTTAACAATAATATCAAGTTACATTAAAATATATTACAGTTACATTACATACATACAATAAATAATCAATTAAAAGTTACAGCAATAACTTACACATAATGATACACAATTATAATATATAATGATGAACCCTTAAAAATTTTTGTAATTTGTTTTTGCTCCTAAAATATCAAACCCCTTAATTAACTTTACTCCAATCAACAAACCCCTTTACTTTACCACGTGACTTGGGTGTGCCCCCCTTTTTTCAAATAAAGGTTCATAATATTAAAAAATTGTGCATGACAGAAAAAGTTTTGTGAAATTAAAAGGGGGCTATTTTTTGAAACCCTCTCAATTCTTTTTCTCAATTCTAAAAAAATGGAAAAACATGAATTTTTCTTCTCAAATTTAAAAATTTCCTGATTTCTTTAAAAACAAAAATTATTGCTCAACAAGAAACTTTTAAATTTACCAAATATTATTCCAAAACCTTAAAAAAAATTTTAAAAAAAAATCAAAAAGCCCCAAATTTTTCTCTATTGAAAATTTCTTTTTTAACTCCCGCAAAAATCATCAAACTAAACACATTTGGAGGGAAATACAAAGCGATCATCTAATTGGTTAAAAATACAATTAAAAATAATAATCCAAGGGAAGTAACTGGAATCAACCCAACTGTAATTAAAGCACGAAAAGATGACCCTGTTACAATAAGCCCATTTTTATTTTGTTTCGGGAAAACCACGTGATTATAGCAACAAATTGACATTATATCAGTAACAAATGAATCAGCAATAATTCGAATAATACTAAGAAAATCCCTTTAACCATTTTAAGATTGCAATATTACATGTGCAGCATTTTTTATTGTGTTCAAATTTTAAAAATGTTATCACTATGGCAAAACAATACACTTGGAATAACGCAGAAACGTGAAACGCTTTTGTAGTCCCAAAGGTATCAAAAAATATATTTTAAGCAAAATATGTTTGGATACATAATACAACTACAGCTAACAAGTCATGTATTGTAAATTTGACTTACGGTTTCACATAGTTATCATATAAATGTGCACATTTAAATTGTTTCCAATAGAGCTGCATTTCCTTGTATATTACATGAACCTATTGATGCATTTGTGATTTTTTACAAGTTCTATTATTGATTTCAAGTATGTACAAATGCTGCCCGTGTCATTTAGAAAATATAGCAAATAGTTAATTGTATTGATTGTGTTTTCTTCCAATTACTTTTGAACTGAAACAGACACACATCTATCCCACCCTCGTCATCACTAGTAGGAATTTGTACCGGTTTTTCGTTTGTGGTCAAGATCATTACCAACATCAGTCGGGCTATTCAAAGTAACAGCGGGGAATACAAATGAGTCGTGTCACGACAAAACCAACATAATGGGTTTGCGACCAGCATGGATCCAGACCAGCCTGCGCATCCGCGCAGTCTGATCAGGATCCATACTGTTCGCTTACCAACTCTATTACAAGTAGAGAAACTGATAGCGAACAGGATGGATCCTGATCAGACTGCGCGGCTGGTCTGGATCCATGCTGGTCGCAAACCCATTATGTTGGTTTTGTCGTGACACGGCTCAAATTATAATATACTGAAAAAAATATATCAAGCTATAACTTGATATGTTGAACAACATTAGTGATATATAATTGATCTTTTACTGCTGGAATGTGTGTGAGATATAAATTTGTTGTTAAAAAGAATATTTCATATACCAGATTATAATGATGAAGACGTGTATAAAGAGTTTTGTAATGGAGGCGATTCTTTTGGTTTTGATGACAGATAGTTACTTGAAATAGTAAGTTTTTGAAGTATGTGAATATAACAGAAATTCCATAGTTCCAATTGATTAAAGACGTCATTTTGTTATGATTGAGTATGGTACGAAGTGATCATGATTGAGCTATATATAATTGTCACTGTTTGGTTGTGTTGAGTAATTTTATAATCAAGAATATCTCGCAAAAAGTTAAAGAACACAAAGACGTGAAAACTCTTATAGATGTCGAGGCTGGCCAGATATGTTACTGGACATGCGCAATGTGTAAACTCGTATATTTCTAACTTACTTATAGCTGATACTATTACACATCATAAAAAAAATTGCATTGATATAACGTTATATAAGTACAATGTATTAAATTATCAGGGAAAGGGTTTCAATTAAATATACAATATAATAACCAGAGTAAAGCTAACTGTTTTATAATCTATTTGAATTATTATTTTCTTTATAAAATAATTATACATGTAATTGTAAATATCAATGTCTTACAATAATATCTGTAGGTTTATAACATTTATACAAAACCAATTTAACAATATTATATTCTTAAGAATGTCAATCAATGCATATAAAATAAGTTTGGCAGTTTTTGGCCATGGCTGTAAAATACATTTGCAATTCACAAGAGAATTTTTTGGTGCTGTGCCCAAGGGGCAATATGGCAGACCACCATAATTCCGGATGTTTGGAAATTTACATATAAAGAATATATATATACATGATTGAATGTACAAACTCTGGAAAATCAGAAGTTATTTTGTTCAGACTGGAGAGCGTTACATAGTAATAAAGTATTCCGGACAATCGGAAATTTAAATTTTATATTCCGGATAATCGGAAATTTATTTTCATATTCCGGATAATCGGAAATTTATTTTCATATTCCGGATAATCGGAAATTTGTTCATATTCCGGATAATCGGAAATTTATGTATCATTCACATCAGCCTGGTGATTTGCATGCAAGCCTCTGCCATACAATACCCCCAAATTGGATGGAGAAAAACTGCGCAGAAAGTTGCAGACATGGCCCCCTTAATAACTACCAACTCATAATTAGAAATATGCTCATGCCAACATGGATACAATACTAGTTCACAATTTAGAATTGACCACAGTCCATTCCTTATACTGTCCACAAATATGGAGTTACCAAAGGAAGATAAATGTACTAAATCTCTGAAAAATAGTTGATTTTCAACAATTCTTGGGTAATGTATGTAGCCACCACCATTTGATATGCAA